ACACGCCGCGCCGAGGCGTTGCCTGGGCAAAGGTGCCGGCGCCGGCGGCTCCGCTGCCGCGCGGGACGCAGGGAGCCCCGCGCTCCGCTCCCACCGCGCTCAAGCGGCAATGCCTCTCGGGCACTTTTTTTTTTTCCTTTCTCCTGCCCAGTTTGATAAAAATAGAGTTTGAGCAAGCAGCGTTTCTAAGCAAAAAAAGAAAAAGCAGTTTTATTTGTTTGTTTTATCTGGAAGTTTTTTAAAGGATTGAAAAGTTGCAGGGGAGGGCTGGGGGGAAGGGAAGGAATCAGCTCTTCCCAACAGAGAGATCCAAAAGCAAAGTTAATGTTTCCGCCACGGCTTTATCTTTTCATCCATGTAAATAAACGTCCTGCCCACGTCATTCGCATGGAGCTCGCAGAGCGCGCCGGAGATGATGGGCCTGTTCCTACTGGTAATATTTACTCAAGCAACAAGAGCAGGAAACAATAGCAAAGCTGAGACTGTACTTGGGGCCGGGGGTGTCCAGGAGGGAGCAGCGTGTGCGCCCAGGTCCCCTGGCACGTCCTAGAGAGACAGGACGAGATGGGGCTGCCCCGGGGCCGGCGGTGCTCAGGGCTGCTCTTGGCTGCTCCTCTCACCGTGTTGTCCCGCGGGTCAGTGCTCTCCGACACGTCCCGTGTTGCTGTCACATGCTGAGTGTCCCACTGGCAGCAGCACCCTGGAGCGCAGGGACTGAAGTCCTTGGGCAGCCCTGGGATGCAGGGAGCCTCTGCATTAATGCACTGGCTGCCGTGTGCCCGGGCCGGGAGTGCAGCTGCCGCCGGGTGAGCGTTGGGACAGGACCATGTGCGTTAACAGCGACGCGTAACGCGGCCGAGGGGATGGGGCGTTCGCGCTGCCCCGGTTTTTGCGCATGCGTCGCCTGCCTGTGCATCGGCGACGTCCCTGCCGCGCAGCTTGGCCCGGGCTCCGGCTCTGCCGTGGCCGGCGCGCCCGGGCCGGCCTGCCGAGGGGCTCCGCCAGCGTGGGTCTGTGTCTGACCGCTCCACGCAGGAGCTGGGGTCCCAGGGAGCTTTGGGACATATGGGGGACATGGTGGTGGCAGCATCCCTCGCATGGTGCAGCTGGGACGTGGGGTCCGCTCTGACCTTCCTCTGCTTCTTCCCTAGGAGAAGGAAAGGAACGCAAAGAGGAAGAAGAAGAAAGGCACCGCCGTGCAAAATGAAGAAGCGGCCTTCCCTCCCGCAGCCGAGGACGAGGAGATGGAGGTGTCGGGGACGAGCGGCAACGAAGAGGAGATGGCTGAGGAGGCCGAAGGTGAGGAGGGCCGGGGGGACGGCGCGTGGTCCCAGGCAGCCCTGTGTCACTGGCTGCCACGTCCTGTAAGTGCCAGCGGCTGCCAGGGGTGCCTGTCACCCCGAGGAGGCACCGAGGCGATGCCGTCCTGCAGCACGAGGCGCTCGTGACCTTTCGGATGCCTCTGGATTTCACGCTTGCAAGAACTGCCCTGGATCCCTGCCCTCCTCTGGTGTCTGTCTGGAGGGATGTTTATTTTGGGAAGGACGTGCAATGGCAGGAGCTCATGGAGCACTCGCCACCAGATGCCTGGGGACCTCCCCAGGGTCCAGGTGGGGAGGATCTCAATGGATCGCAAGAAACAGGGTGACTTAGTGGCACTCCAGGGCCTTCTTCATGGTCTCCAGAGGAGAATAGGAAGGGCTGCATAGGAAGGACTGCTGTGGAAGCATTGGAGGGGACGGACTTTTGTCACCAAATTTAGTCGGTTGCAGGTCCGGCTGGTGCCCCACTATGGGAGAACTGCTGTCCATGCGTGTTGCTCCCCCTCCAGCCGAGCCGTGTGCTCCCAGCAGAGGTGGGACAACACCTTCCCCAAGGACGACTCCTCACCCCGAGGAGGAGCCAGCCATTCCCTTTGTGGTGGCCACCAGCACCCAGGGACCCGCTGGGCCGAGAGAGTGGGCGCCGCGTGGCCTAGAGGAGAGGCCGTGGGGCCGTTGCTGCAGGAGAGCGGGCAGAGCGCGGTGCGGAGCAACGCGGCAGCGCGGTGATGCCACGGGGGGAAGGAGCGCGGTGATGCCACGGGGGGAAGGACCCACTGGGTTTGCAGGGCTCTGCCCCGTCCCGTCTGGGCATCACCGACCCTCCTGCCTGAAGGAGCCGGGCTCCAGGAGGCCCTGCCGCCCTGGCCGCAGCCGGAGCCATGGTCTCCAGTGTGATTTGATGCACCTTGGCAGGTCTTTTTCCTCCTCATTTTCCTTTTAAGGGAGCGCTTTCCTCTCTCCAAACCGTAGCACAGAAAGGCAACAATTTGGAAGTGACAATTTTAGCTATTTATCGCTTAGAAAGCGCAGCAGTGAGTTGGGGGAAAATGTGCATAATTTTCCAACAATAGCCCCATTTGACTTTTGTCAAAGTAATTTAATAACTTAACCAGCACTACGAGCACCACGCTGATTCCTGGCCTTGGCACCCAGGCTAATGGGACTCGAAATTGAAAATCTTTTCAAGTCGTTGTTGGAAGTGACTCATTACGAGGCAGATTCCAGGTAAATCTTTGTGCGAGGTGATATGCAACTCAGACACACAATGTAAAAGGTAGTTATTGCTCTTTGGGAGAGCGGTGGAAAGGAAACAATGTATTTTTAAGATTAAAGACCGATCGCTTGACACACTCTGCAGCTTTGCGTTCCTAGAGCTCCAGTTTTCACTTTGCATTCACCCTGCTGGGCAGGGGGGACTGTTTCTAAGTGGGCTGTTGATGTTTCTAAGCGGGCTGTTGAGCGGGATGGACGTGGCAGCAGAGTGAGGGCAATGCCCTGGGCACGGACGTGTCGGAGCAGGGCTGAGCGTGTGGCTCCAGGGCAGCGTTTGGAGACGGGCTCGGGGAGCCGTGTGGCGGGCAGGGTATCAGGGGAAGGTCTCGGCATGGTTTTATTGCACAGTTATTTCTCTGCGTGCAGCTCCCCTGCTTGGGAGGAGCATTCATGGGCTGCCATCGTGGGCTCCCTGTCGGGAGCCTAAAGCCTGGGTCAAGCCGGGACAAGCTGCCCTTGGACGGTGCTCGCATTAGGAGTAGCAGCAGGTGTGTTGCTAAGAGAGATTTTGACCAAACCTACTCTAAATCTGTGTCCTGTCAGTCTTGTGCCCATCATCCTTGGGCGACCGCATCTCACAGTTTGATGCGTGTGAGGAAGCTGCTCTGCCCCCTCTTCTGCGAGAGCAAGAGACCTTTGCGCTGAGGTGGATGTGTTGAGATGGGGCCTGAAAGGCAGTGACCCTCCTTGGTGTGTTTGTCCTGGGAGGTTCTGGAGGAAACGGTTCTTTCCCCAGCCGTAGGAGCAGCCTGTCGGCAGCACCTTCACTGCGGCGCTGCGCAGGCCCCTGCCTTCTGCAGACACCTGCGTTCTCAGCTCGCTTCGGGTCCCTGCTGGATTTCAGACTGATCCTCCGCGCTTAATGATCAACCTGTCCCGAAACGCTGGCAGAGCTCTGCTTTCACTGCCCCTGACCTCCTTCCCTTTTGACACCGCTGGCTGCAACGCCGGCAAACACACGCGGTGCTTTGGGACATTGCTGCGCTGCCCCGGGGTGGCAGGGGCTGGGTCACGGCGCCTGCGCCAGCAGCAGCGCCCAGCGAGAAGGGCAGGAGCTCTGAGCTATGGGTGAGCGGAGGGAGGACCGCGCGGGGCCCAAGCGACAGAGCAGCCCACGCTCCGGATCCGAGTCCTGCTTCCCGCTTGCTGGGTTTGGCAGGGAGCGCCTTTTTGTGCTTGGGTGGGGGTTCGCAATAGCCAGGGCAGTTGTTATGTTGGGCAAGCGAAGAAGCGCAGAGCATCTCTTGGCTTGGTTGGCTCTGGGGGCAGGGGGTCCCGGCTCAGCTCTTCCGCGCCCCGGGCTTGTCTCCCCCTCGAAGGAATGAGGGCGTTCTCCTCCCAGGGGAGAGGGCGGAGGCAGCGATATGGGAAGTGAGAATCACAGTCTTATCCTTATTTTTATTTCTTCCCTTTTCTCAGCTGCAGTAAATAACAGCTCCGACACCGAGAGCATTCCCTCGCCGAGGCCCGAAGCCAAAGAGGGAGGCGAAAACGGGGCCAAGGCACCAGCCGGGCCGGGAGGTGACTCCAGCGCAGAACCGGCAGTCAAGTTGGAAGAGGCTCCCACACCCCCCGATGCTCTCGCTGCTCCCACTGCTCCTGCTGCCAACCCCGCTCCTGCCTCCAGCCCTGCTCCGGAGGCAGCTCCCGAGCCGGCCGACAGCGAGGAGAAGGCCCAGGAGGACGTGGTGGTGGACGTGGTGAAAACAGAGGAGCCGGAGGAGAAGGAGAGCGAGGAGCCCTGCAAGAGCGAGGTGAAGAAGGAGGAGACCGAGGAGAGCCAGGACAAGGACAAGGGGAATGACAAGAAGGTGGAAAGCAGTGTCAGCGCTGGAGGAACAGCAGGGGCAGAGGGGACACCCAAGGCTGAGAAGAAGGAGGGTCATAAAGGCAGTAAAGGCGCCGGCGTGAACCCGGATAGCGACTCCAGCGCGACGTGCAGCGCGGATGAGATGGACGACCAGGACGCTGTGGACAAGAGCAGGTAAGAAGGGCGGCAGCACGGGCTGGGTCAGTGTGTGACCTGCGGGACGCGGAGGTGAGCGTGTGTTGACCCATGCACACGTTCCAGAGCTCTTTCTTGGGAATATCACCAATAAGGCATTGCTGGAGACGGGAGCCCAGGCTGGCTCTCTTGCTTGTCCACCCCCTTAGATTTCCAAGCAGCAGGGACTAAAATACTGCCCGGGGCTGGATGCTGCTGAAAACAGACCATGTCTCTGGGTGAGGACAGGGACCTGGATGCTCCTGCGGGCTCTGGCACCCTCCCAAGCGGAGGGCCGTGTCCAGCCGCGTCTCCACGTGGCCTCAGCCCTTTGGCCCGCGCCGGGGCTAGACGGTGCCATGTGTGCAGCTGTGGGTGCAGAGCCGCGGGCCGCCCGGCTGGCGCAGCGTGGGCGACGTGTCCTTGGGACCAGCTGAGCTGTCCCAAGGCAGAGGCCGGGTTCGGTTATCCGGGCTGGCCCTGTGGGCAGAGGGAGAAGGGGTCTCCCCATGATAGGTGCTGCTGGGTGTCTGCCTGTGCCGCTTCCTGCCCGAGCTCCCGGACAGCCCCGGTGCCGGCGGCAGAGAGGGCCCCGACCCTCATGGCAGCTCTGACCAGGGCTGGAAACACTGGTGTTTTGGGAGGAGAAACGCCCCGTTCCCTCCTGTCTCTTCCCTCCATGGCCATGCAGCCCTCCCTGCCCAAGAGCCTTGCAAACGGGATAGGGTTTCCTGTTTTTTTAAAGTCTTTGTAGTGCCGTTTTCTCTAACGGCTCCTGCTTCCATCCACACTGGCTCATGGGCCAGGAGGGGCCTCCTGGATGCAGGCTGCCATCACGTAGGAATGGCATCCACGCCAGCTCAGAGCGTGGATCGGGTATGATGCGGATGCCCTTCTCCCCAGCATCCCCTCCTTCCCATGGGGGATAAAACCAGCCTGTAAGAGAAAGGCAGGACCAAACTCCTCAAGACTGGTAGGAACCAATGGAAAGCAAGACAGCAGCAGGACCTCGGCACCTGCAGGCTCCGAGCAGCTTCCCCGGCACTGCTTTGCTGCTCTTCAGAGCGATCTCAATGAAACCAGAGGCGCACGTGCCGTTGTCCACGCTCAGGCCGGGCTCAGGTCACCCTCCACATTTGCTGGGGTTGATCTGTGGCCTTTTCCCGTGTTGGCAGCTCGGCGGTGCAGGGGCGCGCGCGGGCGCCGC